TTACACCTGATCCTGAAATTCGATTGGTCGTTATTACAAGGGGTGGAAAAAATTTTGTGGGACAGCTACGTACGTACGTACCTAAAATCCATCACATGTGCAAGTTCTAGTTATTAAACTAAAATCAATTTGATCTGGATTTAACCATCATGAAATACGAAATTATACTAACCAATTGGATAAAAAAGAGACACACCACTTCAGATGCCTGTAAACCATACTCTACGTACGTTGTATTCTGTCCCGGATATTTACATATTTGATCACATGATCACACGTCAAGCGTTTCTATTGGCTGATATAATAAAATAATATAAATTTCGAAACTCAATCTGACTGACCAGCCCGGGATATGAAAACCGATTGTATAAAGTTTGTATGGCCTAATATATTCAATTTTAATCATTTGAATACTTTTAAAAAAATAGTAATTGTAATATTAAATATATTAAATTAATTCAACAATAATAATATTAGGCCAAGCCAAGTTAATTTTTTGGTTCTTATAACATAAAATTTTTGAAAATGACCTGGCAACCCGGCTTTTAATTTTATTTTCAAAAAAATTTTATACAATATATAAAAAACATAAAATTTTTTAGAAATTTTTTAGAAAAACCCACCCGGATAGTAAATATACTTAAAAAAATTTTTTTAAAGGTTTGTAAAATTTGACCCGGCCGGGTTATGAGAACCAAAAAATTAACTTGGCCTGGCCTTATATATTAAATTAAGAATTAATTGTTTTATAAGTAATAGATATTCCTCGGGCTATTGTGAATATCATGGATTAAAACGGTGGTAATGCATGATGTCACGGCACACCGTTGAATATCTGATATATCTGTATATTTCACTCCATAACATTTCTGATGAAAATTTTTGATGACGTAATGCCCGTGGAATGATTTGATATTTCACGGCATTACATCATTATAAAAATATCATCAGAAATGTTCACGGGCGAACATTAGGGCCGTGGAATATCTATAAGTTATTTATTATAATCAAATGTTTTTATAAAAATAAAAATTTAGTAATTAAAATTAAAATTAAAGTAAGGTTAGTTTGCAAAAAAATTTCTTTGCTAAAATATTAAAAATGATTTCATAATTAAAATTTATATTTTTTTTAAAAAAAGTAGTTTTTGTTTTGATTTGGCATACACCTGATTTTGGAATTTTGATTGACTTTATACGTAGAATGCGGTTACAATAACCATGATTACAAATTTATTGATCCTTAAATTAATATAAAATACTGTAAAATAATATTTTTTTTAATTTTATAATATTAATCTTTTATTAGATTTATCAAAATTGATTCTGAGAATTTAACAATATATATCAAATTATTTAACATTAAAATAATCTTTTTTTTTTTTACTTTATTAAATAAGCTTATTAATTGCAGTTTTGAAAATGGCGAATAAAAATTTTTTTGCGAATATTCGAATACTCGAATATTCGATTACCTTAGCACATTGATTAAAGATCGATGCCCGATTTTACATACATACGAAGTAATTGTTTTAGTCAACAATGTATGTAAAACCGGGCATCGATCTTTAATCAATGTGCTAAGGTAATCGAATATTCGAGTATTTGAGTATTCGAGTATTCGAGTATTCGCAAAAAAATTTTATCCGGCACCTTACTACGATCGTACCAACAGAATAACTCGCATCATTATCAAATAACGGAGTTATTTGATGATGACCAATCATCATCACAAAATAACTCGAGTTATTCTGTAAGATACCGTTATTGAATGCTACTCAGCCAATAACTTGTTGAATTTAATATGCGTCATTTCTGGGTCCCTTTGGGACCCGACATATTAAATTTCACTTAACAATTAAATTTCACAGCAGATAATGAAATTATTTTACAATAATTTCCGTTATTGGCTGCTTCGCATCCAATAACTATACATTATTTGCCAATTTTAATCATTTCGAAAACCGCGACAATATATAATTTTAGAATTAATCAAATATTATTAATCAATCGATTACAAAGTGAATCATTTATACTGCAAAAGATACATTATTTGTATAATCTTTCAAAATATTAAAATGATTAAAAAACTACTTCAAAACTTTGGCATTATTTAATCGAGAAGTTCATAAAGAATGTGAAGGTTTATACGTAATAAAATTCATATGATTTTGTTACGCGCTTTAGGTAACAAATTACGTATTTGATATACTACTAAAATCAACTTGAATATAGCAGTGATTATAAAAGATCGTCTTGAGAACTTAATATAACTAAAAAAAAAAAAAACGGTATGAATGTTCATACGTATGTACGTATGCAATTGTACTTATCTGTAATCGTTAAATACATGCGCATGCACTTATGTATGCGCTTATGCATACATATTTTTAAATAAATAGATCAAATTGATTAGAATTTCCGAACATGTACAGTAATTAATGTAAATTACGATAATACGTATATAAAAAAACAATTACATACAAAAATACAGTATATATCTTATTTTATATTACAGGGATTTCTTAATTAGTGAATAACTTTTTTTTTTTATAGTGAAACGACCTCTTTAATTTACGTATAACCGAGCTTATCCCTACTCCAAGAATAAAGGATTAAAAATCAACGGATAAAATCGTCAAACGAAAGAAACTTAAAACAGAATAGTCCGAGTAGGTTAAATTTCATATTTTAATGTCGTGGACATTATATAAAGACCTCAAGGACGATAAACCAGACATGTTTTCAGCCAAGTGGAATAAACAAAGGCGTAACAGTAACAATTCACAAGTCAAAACATATCGACATACAATTAATTAATTATTACGCAATCCGTTTTTATCAATAAAAGTGTAATGGAAACAAAACGCAATTGTTATTTTTGACGTAATATTTGATTTTTTTTTCCTTTTCTGTGAAATTATTACTGATAGCGATAGCTGATAACAGAATAATATTATTTTAAATTCGTCCGAACAATATTATTAAGGTTATGTCATTGACAATATTATGATTTTTTTTAGGGAACAAAAGAAAAGAAATCATAAATAATTAAAATTAAGAACTTCAAAACCACGGTTAATATTTTTTTCACGGTTCGTATGTACTTAAATTGTTTGTACGTACGAATTTTTGGATAAAACAACTAGGAAAAATTGTTATTATTATTACCGTCATTTAATTTATAATGAGTCTTTGGCAAAAAACTTATAGCTCTCAGTTGGTTAACTCGTCTGACAAAGATTCTAAGAATATACATCGTAATTTAGAAATCTTAAATAATACTTCTCTCAATCTTGTTCGACCAGAAACACCAGTTAATTCTCAACCCGCTGACAAAATTACTCCTAAAGAGAAATTAAAAACTTTATTACTTTGTATCAATTCGAATGTTTATTCACCCTCACTACATGCTAAACGTTCGTCACAGGATCGTTCTGCGGATGTACATAACGAAATTAAAAAGCCACAGTCTGATCCACCTAAATGTAGTTCAGAAAAAACTAAAGCTAAAAGAACTAGTAAAGTCAAATTTGCTATAGACTCAAATCATCAATCGAGTGAGAAAGAGGAAAAAACTGATGGCATAATAAATGATGCTAATGATAATGAAAATCTTGAGTCACCAAAGTCACTTTCAAAAAATTCGAAGGCTTACCGCCGTGCATCTGCTCCTGCTCATGGAATGCCCTTTGTTTACTTTTCGTCATCGGAATTCACATCCATACATTACTTTGGACAATCTGAACAGGACAATCATAAAGTGCATGATTCAGATAATCAAGCCTCTAAAATACCAACAGTTGACACTAAGCGGCGTGAATCAATCAGTGATAATAAATCCAATTTAACATCTCCATCTCCTTCATTATCACCATCTTCACCATCTTCTTCCATATCCTCCTCTTGTTCTTCAACTGTGTCAAGCCCTGCACAGCCAGCACAAGCGCAACAACACAAATACGACAAATACGACAAAAAAACATTACAGACCTTTAATCCACCATTTCAACCTGGAACATTTATACCTCAACCAGTACCTACACCTATTACCACGAGATCAAGATCAAGAAGTATTTCTACTGGAAAGCCTATTCAAGCTGGTAATTCGTTGCCTGCTATAGTTTCTGCTGCATCATATCAAAATCTTCCTTGGTCACCTGCTGTAAGCTTTTTAGCTAATTTGGCACAGTCTACTGTGTCCCAACCAATGCCATATGATGAAGGTCAACAAATTGGGGATTATATTATTGGTAAAGTAATTGGTCGTGGTGGATTCTCCACAGTAAAAGAAGCTATTAAGATGGATAATGATGGTAATATGGAAACAATTGCCGTCAAAATCGTACGCAAAAATCAAGAATCTGATTGTAACGATCGCATTCAGGTAATTATATTAACATTTCCAATATATCATTGATTATATCATTGATTATATCATTGATTATATCATTGATAATGGTTTTAATTAAAATTATAATATTTTTAAATTTACAGGCACTTTTAGATAGAGAAATCCATATATGGCGTGAGCTCTTTCATCCTAATATTGTACCGATGATTATGTGTAAAGAGGATGATCATGCTACCTATGTGTTTTCTGAATATTGCTCAGGAGGTACTCTCTTGAATTATATAAAGAAAAACTGTATAAGTGAAAATAAAGGATTAGATGAAGATGAAGCACGTACTATTTTTCTGGAAATTGCTGAAGGTTTACGATACTTACATAATGACATGAAATTAGTACATAAAGATATAAAATTGGATAATATATTATTGGATAAGGAAGGCACATGGAAAATTTGTGACTTTGGTTTGACTGAATTTCAAAATAATGCCAATGGTTTTGCCGATCTTTGTGATGAAGAAGCTGGTGGATCTATTGCTTATTGTGCACCAGAACAGGCGCGTAGCAAAACCTCTATAAAGAATCCGGCAGTTGACATATGGAGCCTAGGTGTTGTACTTTATGCTCTTGTGACGAATAAATTACCTTTTATGGATGATTTCGTACCTCGTTTACAATTCAAAATTATTAATGGACGTTATGATGAAACGGTACTTCACGAATCTGGTTGTTGCGATGATTTACGGGATTTGTTGAAAAAAATGTTTAAGACTGATTTCACTCAACGATTAACTATAAATGAGGTCATGAATCATAGATGGTGTCAACAATGATGGTGTTGCAAAGGATTTATTAATTGTTTATGGTTGATTCCCTTTTATGTAAAAATTCTTTTGAACATTGAACTTTGTTTCGATAAAGAAATCAATAGTTTAAGATATATATATATTTTTTTAGTATTTTAAATTTATTATATTATATATGCTAATATTACTTTCCGCCCATCTGTAAATTTCCTTTTCTTCCCTTTACCACCCTTTATTGTATTAATGTATTATTTAAGATCGAATATTTTCTATTATTTAGGAAGGTCGATAATAACATCTATTCTAAGTAAACTCAGTGTACTATAGAATTAAAAAACTACAAATGCTCTTATTTTAATAAATGATGTTTCTTTTTTATTAATTAGCACAACCTTTTATAAGACATGTTTGTACGTAAGAGGTGATATCGTTTTTGATGTGTCACCGTTTCTAACTGAATCAAAATAACTTCTATTGCTATAAAAACAACAATCAGGATCGAATTTTCCAATGTCGAGATTAGGATTTGGCAAGCATATATAGTCGCATATATAGTCGCATATATAGTCACATATATAGTCGAGACATGATAAGGCACCACTGATACGTAGTTAAATTTACAGGTTCATTTGCCTTTATTGAAATAATTTTGTCAGGTTATTTGGGTCATTTGAATTTATTATTTAAATTTCATATGCAAAAGTTATTGTTTAGGTCATTTACCAATACTGCTGATAAATATCACGTGATAGTAGGACATATCGATATCCAATTGAACATTAGAGTGGGGTAACAGTAATAGCAAAGACCTAAAACTGAAAATCGCGATCGTATTGATTTACAAGTTACACCTGATTAGTCGATCAGGAATACAAATATAGTTATATTGTGATATGCGATTCATGTGTTTATACAATATGATTTCCCTTCGGCCTTTAAATCATTGATCATCAAAAAGATAAGAGATTTTTCCATTTTAAGTTACTTTGAATGAAAAGTTGGGGTCTAGCAGTGTTGGACGGCGATGTCATATGACTTACATATTTATATGATTTGTCATATTACAATCTTATATGAAGTGCATGTATTAATAATAAGACATATTCCTATATCCTAGGTTTAAAAACTAGAGCTTCATTGGCTACTCACTAGGGTTGTTAATGGAGTGGAGTGGAGTGGGTTGGGTTGGAATTAGATGGAGCAAGGCTATCTCCAACCCAACCCGGGTTATGCTTCAAACCATTGCTCCGGGTTATGCTCCGGGTTATACTCCGGGTTATACTCCGGGTTATGCTTCAGATTATACTCCGGGTTGTGCTGCGGGTTGTGCTCCAGGTTATGCTCCAGGTTGTGCTCCGGGTTATTGCTCCAGGTTGTGCTCCGGGTTATGCTCCAGGTTGTGCTCCGGGTTGTGCTCCGGGTTATGCCCCAGGTTATGCTCCGGGTTGTGCTCTAGATAATGCTCCAGAATGCGCTTCAAGTTTCATAGTATTGGGGTGTCACATCGACTATTTAATCAAAACTATGCCAGTTACATTGATAATTTTACTATGATCAGATTGTTATCAGTAAAATTAAATTAATCAATCGAATAAAATTTTACTTAAATTATAAAGAAAAGCGTAAAATTCTAAAGAATTCACATAAATATTGCACTTATTTTTCTGATTTCTGTTGACTGAAAATTATTTATTTGAATCATTTCGAAGTAACTACATTTCATTTTTCGCTAATGTTATTAATTTTCGAGTTATGCTTTTAATATAATTTTTTTGGCCTTAATGAATTTTCAAATATTCTATATAGCGAATACTCAAAACCCACAAGAAATTGAAATGTAGCTTTATTCTTTGACTTTATATAAGCAAATGGTGAAAATTTCAGTTAATTTCACGTTATAATATATAGATTTTTATTATTACGTATCGGTATGTATTACATTTTTCTTGCGTACGTACGTAATACATTTATTAGTAATGACTACATAATTATACATTTCGGCGCATTTTGTCAAATTTAACTAATTTTTGATCTCCAAATTTAAGTTTGAGACAAAATTTATTATTTATTTTTTAATGTTGATCCCTCTAAAAAAATTATTGGCCTCCAATCTATAACAACAATGCGTCAAACCCATTTTCCCATACTTCTAACCCATTTTTTTCATTAGCCCAATCCATTTTAAATTTCTGTACAATTCAATAATATTGACAGTATTTTATGAATAACAGAAAATTTAAAAATATATCATCATTAGATTAGAACATTAACATTACATATATGTGAAGTTAATTAAATGACTCACAATCAGTAGCCAAAATTTTTAAATTTTGGCAAAAGTATTGATCTTTCACTGTATGTACACACAAAGAAACTGAAAAAGACCAAACTTCTGAAGAACTCTGTTTAGAAGACAGAATATACTTACTATTTATTAAATCATCAAATTATATTATAGAACAAGGTAATTGGAAGTATTTTTCAAGACTGTTTTATTACATTAGATTCTATTACTAAATGTCTAGCTATATGGTTGAATAGGAACCAGCCTATAACGATAGAAGGTTTGGGTTTAATACTTTCTTGTTATCTGGCATAATCTGACGAATATACAGTTATTGGCAGGATGATAACAAAGTATGTGGCCGAAGGCCACGTGCGTTGTTATTATTCTGTTAATAACTATATTCGTCACCATCATGCCGGATAACTAGTTTATTCGGCAGGTATGACGTATACACTTACGGAAAAAATTGATATTATGCCGCAAGTTTTATATTAAAATGATTTTAATATTAACCTGCGGCAATAATGTGAAATTTTTTCCGTCAGTGTTTACATAGTACCTGCCGAATAATTGAATATATTGGTGTTTGTAGTATATTTGGATAATAAATTTAGTGTTTTTTTGTATAAGATCAATTAATTCTTTTGTATTAATGTATTCATTGTTTATCTAAATAAAACTTGAAGATTTTTTATCATTCTGTATTTATTGTTTTTAGTATTTATTCTTTACACTCTTTTGTAGAAAAATGTGCACTTTTTCTGACAGATATTATATAAATAAAGATATCTGGTATTATAAAATGACTCAACTGCCAATTCGAAAGCTTTTTACAAATATAATTTTTGGCAGCATGTAGTTTTTTTAGATATCTTATTTAGGCAAATTTGTTTATGAATGCCTTATAGTATAAGGGATAATAAAAATATTTATTTATTTATAAATTGTTCAATATAATAATATTTAAAGTGCTTTTCAAATTACTATAATTGTTAGTTACATCGCCTATAATAAAATCTTTAAATTTACAAACTTTGATTAAGACATCTGCTTTAAAAATTGAAATTGATCAAACTATAAAAAATCTTCAAACAAAATTTGAACCTTCTTATAATAAAAATCAGTATTTTAATAGATTTCTAGTTTCTATAATATAGTACGAAGTTTGTTAATAGTAATTCAAAAAGCACTACAGTCAACTCTCTTAAATCTGAACCTAAATAATCCTAACCCTTAATAAACTTTGCGAAAACTAAATACAAAGCCTTAGAATATTTATAAATTTTATTATAAAGTTCAGATTGAAAATTGAATTTTTTTATATTTTTATATATAAGAACTGGATAAAGAGAATTGACTATATAATGAAAGTTATTAATAGTAATAAAAATATGTTAATATTAGCTGAAATCAAGTTACTGGCCTATTGTTTTTTCTTCTAAAAAATTTATGATATCAGCTAATATCTAACATATTTTTAATAATAAATATATGCATAGTTAAAGTATTATATTTCTAAAAGAAAAAACCTTCTATATCAAGTTCTTTTTTATTTTTGTTATGCACTTGCTGAATCCAGCTTTTAAGACACATGACTGCACGTGCTGTATCAGGTTTTAAGTTGCAACGAATTTTAGTTATAGTATTTGCTGCCATAGAAAAAGCCTGTTCTAAAGATATGCTTAAATCCTGAATACTCAGATAGCATAATACTATATTTGCAAGAATTGGAAATCTTTACCAAAATAATGCCATCAATCTAACAGATTTGTATTAAGATCAACTGGAATTGCAAAATATCAAGTAATTTCATCTTTAACAGTTACTTGTTTAAAAGCTTGTTCAGAAATTAAAATTTTAAAAAATGACTGTTTATTTTTTCTTAATTATAAATTTATATTAGTTAATTAAGTATTATTTTTATATAAATCTATTCTATTATACAAAAGTGCTATAGCTTTATTACGCTTATTCATATCTTTAAAAGTCTTAGTCTTAGATTGTAGATCTAACAAAGCACCAATTGTTGTTGGTTCATCAATATATTTCTAATATTCTTGAAGTTTAAAATTAATTAAATTAGCTATCAAGCATTTATCCAAATTAGTTCAGGATGAGTTTTAAAAAACGACTCTATATATCACAATAAACTAATTATAGTTAACCTTATATTGCTTATAGTAGGATACATTGAAGTTGATAATATTTCAGTTGCTATAAAAAATGGTTTAAGTAATTGAATTAAACTATTAATTACTAGCCAGTTATTATTTTGCAAATACAAACTAGAAAGATCTTAATTTTTAATAATAAAAAGATACAAAATATCTTTTATTTGACAAAATTTTTTTAATATATGATATGTGCTATTCCATTGTGTCTCTATATTTAAATTAAGATTTAATTCAGGTTTATTTTTAAGTTTATAAATTGTTTTTAAAGACTCGCTTAATGCCAAATTTTTATTACAAAATCTTGAACTTTTTTTATAATTGATGATACTAACTGCAAACCATATTGTACAGCAAGATTAAGTATATGCGCTACACATCATTGATGAACTAACTTATAATTATTTAAAGTTTCTTTAAGTTCCTACTCTGCAGCTATCATCAAATATGCATTATCAGTCATAATTTCTAACAACTTTTCAGTAATTTTAGCCTGATCCAATACTTGTATAAGAGCTTGTTTAATATAAATAGCAGTATGTTATTCAGAAAAATAATAAAAATCAAGT